TTGAGAGAGTTGTTTGTGATGGAAATGGATTAAGATATCTTGATTTAAATAGGAGAAGAGAGGGTTCACGGGTTCCATTAATTTGGTAGGTGGAACGGTGAGAGTAAAAGAGTTTCAACTTCCAAGAAGTTGAAAAGTGGAAGGAATCTTTTACCAATTACCAATGAGTTGAAACTGTTCCAATTTGAAAATCAGTTTCGTTTGGTTTGAGAATCATAACTGTTTTAGTTTGGCTAAGCCCAAGAGAGTGGCCCAAAAAGAACAGAAAGCTACGTACTAAAGGGAAATTATTCCTATTGGGTTCTCAAGGCCCAAAATAAAACTATCATTTTTCATTCCCTATAGTTCTCATTTCTACTTAGGACGAGGTAGCACCAAAACAAATATGAATATTATTTTTAAAAGAAAAGTGGTACTATTTTTAAACATCCTAGGGACCAGTACTTTTAGAGCTTGTTGGAAATGAATTAAGGACTGAAGCTTAGTTTAAGAAGGCAGATTTTGTAAAGTATCTGAATCGGAGATTTCCAATTTTAGTACCAAAACTGAGATATCCGTCTTCCATTGCTTAGAACTTATCAATAGTTCATTGCCAAAAACAATTGTTAGCCAAAAACTAGTTAAGTTCCCCTGAAATACATTCCCCCTGAATGTATGCGCTTCAAAAAAAATTCTCAGAATCATATTTGAGATAAGTATAGTCAAGCATAATAAGCATAATTAAGAAAATTGTTGAACCAATATTGCAATGTTTAAACCAATCAAGCAATGTTTAAACAAGAAGGTGTTTGCATCAAAACACTTTAGTGTTCTCACATACTTTCCCCCTGTTTTGATGAAAAGAACCTTCAGTTTCTCTTTCCCTTCATGTTCCCACACAGTTCTTTGATGTGCCTTAAATTTTCACGTCTTTCTTCTGATTGAGCATCATTTGAGAAGTGGTCAACAACTATACCTATAAATTCTGTTCCATCCAGTCCTGAGCTGGATAGAAGCTGTGCTGAGTTTTCCGGATTTCTTTGCTGTGCTTCAAGGATTAGATTTGTCAAGTTCAGATGAGAAGGAATATAAGATACTTCTCCTTCTTTGACTGCAATAGGGAGCTGTGGTATTGGAGATGGACTGTGTTGTTGGAGAATTACTTCCATCTTGC